CTCCAAGTGGTGTGTGGAAGTGCTGCAATGTCTGGATCTCTTTCCAGATAGGTGGTAATGTTGATTTAAGTGGTAAGCAGATTAGAAAGGAAATCTGGTTTTAATTTAATCCATTCAGTAGCCAATATAACAAAGCTAACGCTTGCCTGCATGGTTTTATTATTAAAGTATATGCTATAGCAAAATGACTCAAGTCTTCATCCTTGGTACAGGAGCAGTATTTGAAATGTGTTCCCAGTACCAGCTAATGTCTCTTCTTACTTAGCTACAGAAAAGAAAAATGCAGAACTGAGAAATGTAAATTTTTTTCTCTGACTGTGAAATTGTAAACACTTAGTGGAACAGCATATGGAAATTATGAAATCTGATGCTTTGAGTGTGAGAGTTACAAAATGCATCAAGGTTCAGTGTTCTCTTTTATTTACTCTTTTGGTATGTGATTTTGAAGTAGCATAGTCACAGTGATTCTTTCTTGAGCATTTTACTTCTCCGTGTAACTTGGAAATCCAACAGGCAGTAAAATTTAATAAAAAATGTTTTTGACTATAAACTCTTGTGTATAGTATTGCAGTTCAAATGACAGACTGTATTAATTCAATGCTCTAATGTGTACCCTGTGGTGTCTTCATTAATGTTGCTAGAAATATTCAGCATTTATAAAACTTATATTGGTATACAAGGACCAAAGAAAATCCAACATTCTGCTTAATCTTGCAGAGACCCAGAGGGATTTGAAGTGCAAAAGATAGTAAAAACAAAATGTTACATTTTTTAGGTCAACAGAATCTCCTGCTGCACATTTTTAAAACATCCATGCATTTTTTACTTTTCTGTCTCTAAAATATTGTGGGAAATGAATTATGACAGTAAAGGTGTTTAACACACTTATTGCATTCAGTTTAAGGCTATACAGTGTGTTTGAGGAAGAAGACCCAGGTATGAATGTGTCTGCTAGTTATACTTGGACCTCCCTGTAGCAGAGCTGCCATATATATGTAAAATGAATGTGTGACTTGCAGGAAACACAGGCAACTTAAAAAAAAAATAATAATAAAAAATAAAAGATTTAGTAGCAGAAATAGGAAAAGCAGTGTGTAACATTCAAGGGTAGATGTTATTTCTACAATAAAATGACAGTGATCCATTCTGGGTACATCTTTAGCGGTAAGACAATGGGCCCAGGCACTGACACTGACATGAAATGACAAAGAATGCCCTATATACACACTGTGTGGGAGTGTTTCCTTGGACATTCTAAATGCCAGACCCCTCCTGGACGCTGCTCAAACTGTTTTGGCTACCTGGTGATAGCCAAAAGCATGCAGCAGAAATCCAAACAGGTCACTAGTGTAAGCAATCACAGTGGTGAGTAATGTTCTTGACTCTACATGTTACTTAAACACTGAACTTATGACTGACCTTACTAAGAAAGCACTCATACCAACAGAATGTAAATGCTTTTTCTTTAATTATTATTTTTAACTTGGAATTCTTTTAGCTTCTAGTTATCTGCTTTGGCTTTTTTTGAAGTATATAATGAGTGCACAGTTAGGTGAAACAATATATTTTCTGTTTTCCAAACAGCTTTTTTGAAAGTTGACATGGGAGCCTGAAGTTAATATCTTTCCCAGTTATTTGAAGCAAATTATTTGCCAGATTTAAACCACATCAGGTCTTCACTGTGATTCACTTGTAAGGATATTTTCTACTTTTGTTTCTGATGCTCTTCAACTCAGCTGGTAAGACTGATAATTGATTATCAGTAGGCTTATGAAAGCTGAAACTATGTGTTATGCAACTTACTGTTACAGTTGTGCTTCAGTGAAATCTTACTGAACTGATGGGTAAATGGCTGCTGCCGAGATAATCCCCGAGTTATCCCTTTACTCCTGCTCCCTTCCCAGGCAGCCAGACTGTATTATGAAGGTAAAGAAAAACATCTAAGAATATCCACTAATCAAAGAATTTACTTCAGTTTCAGTTATTTTCAAGAGCGAAGGCAAAATTTCACCAAGGGATATTAGTGATATTTACATAATTAGTGATAAAGTCAGTTATTCAGTCTTATCACCCATGGTCCAGTGGTTGGATCATTTACATGGCCAGAACAATGAAAGCACCTGCTGCAGAAATAATTGTGTGGCACCTGTGTACTTCAGCCACTGTGCTGGGCTTTCACCTGCTCTCCCATCTGGACATATGTGAAAAGCTTCCACATATGTCCAGAGTATTCACATACGTTCCAAAGTATTTAAATATTTTACATGGTGACAGGATTGTGAGTGCCTCTACTTAAAAAATAAATAAATAAAACGACACAAAAATCTGAGTAAATTAATATTTTTTTCCATATGAAATGTGAATAGCCAAATGGGGACTGAAGTTGTACTGGGAGAGATCCTAGTGAGAAAATGGCGTTTAGAAGTCTATCTGCAGACAGGGACAGAGGTAACAACAATTTTCCCTAATCAGAGTCCCGTTACTTTCAGCAAAGAACTTTGTGCGTGCATTTTATAAGCAAATAGAATGATTTAAAATAAATATCTGATCAAATTCTCCCCTTGAAAGGAATGAGCCTAAAACAGCAAATTAAGAGTTCAGATGTAGCAGGCCTGAGGTTTATCAATCACAGGTGGAAATCGTTGGTATCAATCTGTGTACAGGAGTCAAAAGCAATTAGAAGAATGAAGTTTCAGTGAACTGGAAACATGCAAAAAATTGTTTCCAGGATCTTGACCAATGGCTAGTAACCTCTGAAAATGAGCCATATTGATCACATGCCTTTGTGCAGCCATGCTATAAGGCTACTTCAACTGTATTATAGTTTTCAGGTATTCCAGTCATAGTTAATGTCTATTCAGTTGAAGATGGTGTAAAGCACAACCTTTGGCAATATCTGTATTACGTGCTAATTAGAAGAGAATACAAGAAATGTGCTTCACCAAACACAAACCTGGGTCACTTATGTAAGGTCACAAAGAAAAAAAAAAAAAAAGAACCAGTGTCATACTCATGTAATATCAATCCTGTGGTGAACCATTTCAAACTTTGTTAAAAGTCCTCACAGGTCTTTAGCCTCTTTAATAAAGTATTTCCTGAAAGTGTCTAATATTAAAAATATATGGCCATATTTTTATACAGAGTATGCTTTTGGTATACTGGATAGTAACATAATATCAGCAGTGGGATTGCAGTAATATTTCAGTATTAAGTGATCTCCTCTACTAGAGAACAAACAAAAAGAAAAACAATCTCAATATGACCATATCGTAAGATGGGCAAATAAAAACTCAGATTTTTTTTTCTTTCTTTTTTTAAGAACGGACTTTGTTCAGATAACAGAAAGCAAGTATCTGGAGACTGCTATGGTAACTTGCAGCACTGGAGGAGAAGAGTGCTGCTATGACAGCCTCATGCAAAGTAGAGCCAACTGCACAGCCTTCCCCCCATGCTGCAGCTGTGTCCAGATCTAACAGAGGGCAATAGCTGAAGATCTGGCAGGCCATTTCTGCTCTTTTCAGTCCTGGCTTCATAATTTATATTTCAGATGTGACCAGAGATGGTTATTTCATTCATGGATGTTAACAAAATAATTAAACTATTAACTATTCATATTCCACTAGCCCGTTGGTGTAGTTTTCCAATAATAATCATGCTCTGTAATGCTGTTATGCTATAGTTGTGCTATCAGTATTTTCCAAGGATTTATATATATATTTCATTAAGCAGACGTAGACTTGCAGTAGGAATTTCCACGCTATGGTTTATAGTTGCTTATACACAATTTCCAGTGTGAGATCAGCCCCATGCTTGCTCCACAGAAGGTAACGTTATGAAGTTTAGGAAAGCAAGTCAAACAGAAGTTTGAACTAGAGATGGCAGAAGTTTTAATCCACAGAGTGGTCCGAAGAGTGGCACAGAGAGTATTTTATTTTTGTTAGCCATCACAATCTTAGCTAAATAAACAAACAGTTAATAAAGAAAGGTTGTGGGCTTTTTTCCTATTCCAGTCAAAAATAAAAAGGAGGTATATTATCTACTTTTTCTAAAGTCCTCAAAGAATGCTGTCATCATAAAATTATGTGCACAGAATATGCTTATAATTTAATTAGTATTTAAAATATACAACCATGCTTTGATAAATCCAGTAACTCCCTTGCACTGAACTAATACAGCATGCAATGCCATCATTTCCAGCCACCACCATGTTTTCATGACTATCTTAAGACATCGTTCACCATTTCATAACTGTCTGGGTAAATGGAATTTGTTTAATTACTTCATTGTATACCACACTGTCATAAAGAAAATAACAAATTTTGCTTTTATGTGAACTTGTGAGCAATGAGAGGTCTTTTACTATTATTATTTATTTTGGAAAGCAGCTAAAATTGCAAGAGGAGATCAGCATTAAAATCAAAGTTTCTGGCTGCTGAGTTCAAGCATGACTCACCCTGGCAGTACAACTGTATTGAATTAAACTCGGTTCAGCATAGCATTACAGACAAGCAGGCTTTTCTGCCATTTAACCATAGGGAATTCTTACTGCAAAGCAGATCTCACGCGGTTCTGCAGGCGCTGTGAGTGAATCGCTCGCTGGCACGGCAGGTCGCGCGGTCACATAGCGGCACCGCGGTGCCGGTGATCACCAACGCTACTTAGCGCCTGGAAACGAAGCACGCCTTGGTGCGCCATCGGTTTGTCGTCTTTAATCCTCGCAACGATTCACAACCAGATGAAGGCAATGGCCATCCCAGCCTGAATCGCAGCGCGGAAAGAGAACGCCGGGCGGCAGCCGCGTGTCGGACAATAGCGCCGCTCCCGGGGCAGCCGAAGCGCGGCTCGGCGCGTTCCCCCGCGGCAGGTCCCGCATCCCGCCCGCTCCTCCGGCCCCGTTTCTTCCCCTGGAAAGTTTGCCCGGGCGCGGAGCCCCCAGAGCAGGGCCGCGCCTCGCCGCCCCCCGCCGGCCCGGCCCTCCGTCGCTCCGCCGCGCCGCTCACCTGTCGTCGCTCTGCCAGCCCTGGTCACCCAGCAGCAGATCTCGAAAGCGGTACCGCGGCGGCAGCGGGGGGACCTCGCTGTCCAAGTCCACCATCCTGCCCGGCGGAGGCGGACCGACCCGCGGAGCGCCGATCGCTCCCGGACGCCGGTCCGCGGCTCCGGGGACGGAGCGGCGCGGCACGGCGGCGGTGCCGGATCGGGGCCGGCCGTCCCCGG